GTTAAAGAGTTCTTAAAAAGAACTTAAAGGTATGAAATAAAAGTAACATTTTCTTTTCTCTCTAAATGTGAAGTCCTTTTTCATCATCTTCCATCTCTAGTTAGATGAACAAAAGCAATTGTCTTGAAGGAAAAGTGAAGGTAAGCACAAAAGAATTTAAATAACATTTCAAAATTCATCAGATGTACTTTGAGAAGTCTAAGGAGATAAACCACCTGCCAGAAAGGCTGACTGCTGACAGTTTGAAGTAAGTGTTAAGTGCCCTGTGACGGCAAGTTTGTACCTCTGAGAGAATGTTCAATGACACCCCCACCTCCAGCCTGGTGCAGCAGCGTCTCCCAGTGGACCGTGGGATCTGTCCCCACAGAAATGTGGAGTTCAGAGCTGCTGTTAACTGAAGAATCCCTTCTCTGCAGCTAAAGTTGGTCCTTCACACGACAGCAGGAGGGTTGAGTGTTCTCTGAGTGTGGGCATATACGTCAAGAGCTGGGGATGAGTGAGTTTTTTAACGGATTCCATGGCTCAGCACAATACTGATTTACTCTCGCTACTGCCGATGAGAGGAACTTCGGTGTTTCTACCATAAAACATTACATAGCACATAAAACTATACTTAAGACAACTTCAGCCATGCATTCTTTTTACACCTGTAATTCCAATACTCTGGAAGTAGAAGCAAGAAGATCAGGGAGTTTGGAGGGCAGCCTGAGCTACTTGTGGAGGCTATCTATAAAACAAAAGTATGTCTCAGTAATGGGAGGGCTTTCAATGGAAGAACTGTTAGGCCAATTGTCTTTCACGCCAGGGAACACTGAGTGGCAGAACCTGAATGGCACTGACTTCATGCTGTCTTTGTCACTTCCAGAAAGCATCCTGGCTAGCCACCCTTCAACATGCATACATGCACGTGCGTGCACACGCGCTCACACACACACACACACACACACACACACACACACACACACACACACGCTGTGTACAATGGTGGCGCCAGCTGAAAGTGCTGCCAGGACAGACACCACTGTGCTGACGGAGCTCAGAAGACACACCACACTCACGTTTAGACAAACTTTATGTTTATTGCCAGTTACTTGAGAAAACATTTCCTCATAGTTTTTGGTAGAGTAGTGGCAGTGGTGGAGTGTGTGGGTGTGTGTTTGCTGGGGGTCAAATTGAGGACCTTGCAAGTGCTGGAGAAGTATTCTACTAAGTCCCAGACCCAGATTATTTAACACCTGATGGTCTTTATTTGTATAATTTCAAGAATAATTTAGAAATTTTTCTCTCACAAGTTTAACTGTAAAAATAAATTCAGGGCACCTTGTGGACTATTCACTAAATTTTGAGTTGATAACTTTTATAATATATAAAATATATACAGTGATAATATCAAGTGATTTTTAACTGCCATAAAACCAAAAGTAGTTTACACTAACCCTAATCCATTCCAAAGTGGAGTCTCCCCTCTTTATAGGGTGCTTACTAAAAGGCCGGTTGCTGGCAGTGCATCTCCTGCCTTCATGGCTGTTTCCATCACATTGGCTGCACATTCCTTGCTGACCCTACCAACATCCCTGAAGTGCATTGTTTGATGGTGCCTAAAGCACACCATTCTGCATGTTCCGCACATCCTGCTACTAAAAATGTCCAATTTTGTGACATTCTTTTCAAAAAGATTTATTTTTATGTTTATGAATGTTTTTCCTGCATGTATATATCTATGCCCTACATGCCTGCATGGTGCCCACAGGGGTCAGAATAGGGCATCAGATCCACTGGAGCAGGTGTTACAGGCAGTTGTGAACCACCATGTGGGTGCTGGGAACCAAGCCTGGGTCCTCTGGAACAGGAGCAAATGCTCTTAACCACCAAACCATCCTTCCAGCCTTTATGGTAGCCCATTTTGTTTTGTCTGGTTTTAGATTTGTTCTGAGGAGCGGGGAGTGTGTTTTGTTTTGTTTTGAGATGGGGCTTGCTGTGGAGCCCAGCTGACTTATAATTGTTAGGATTGCAGGCTGGCCCGTGCTCTGTATTGCTTTGTAGTCCAGGAACTTTTTAATTGTCCCCTAGAACTTTCTCTAGACTTAATATCTTCAAGTGTGATGCTATGAGGAGCATTAGAGACATGGGTAAAGTGGTAGTCTCTTGTTTTTTTTGGGGGGGGGGTTATTTTTACGGTTTTCCTTTTTGTTGTTTAGTTTTTTAATTTTTTTTATTTAAAAAGGTTTTTTTTTAAAACTTTTAAAGAGTTTTTACATGCCAACCACGGTTCCCGTTTTCCTCTCCTCCGTTTTCCCCCCACCCAGCTCCCATCCACTCCTCAGAAAGGGTGAGGCTTCCCATGGGGAGTCAGTGAAGTCTGGCATATCAAGTCGCAGTAGGACCAAGCCCATCCCCACTCCCCCAAATCGAAGCTGAGCAAGGTGTCTCTCCATAAGGAATGGGCTCCAAAAAGCCAGTTCATGCATTGGGGATAAATCCTGGTCCCACTGCCAGTGGCCCCACAGACTGCCTAAGCCACAGAACTGTTACCCACATTCAGAGGACCTAGTTTGGTCCCATGCAGGTTCTCCAGCTGTCAGTCCAGAGTCAGGGCGCTTCCACTAGCTCAGGTGAGCTGTCTCATCATGGTCTTGACCCCTTTGCTCATATAATCTCTCCTCCCTCTTTTCAACTGGACTCTGGGAGCTCGGCCCAGTACTTAGCTATAGATTTCTGCATCTACTTCTATCAGTTACTGAATGAAGGTTCTGTGATGACAATTAGGGTGGTTATCTATCTGATTACAGGGGAGGACCAGTGTAGGTACCCTCCACTATTGCTAGGAGTCTTAGCTGGGGTCATCCTTGTGGATTCCTGGGAGTTTCCATAGCATCAGATTCCTCCCTAACTCCATAATGGCTCCCTCTATTAAGATTTCCTTGCTCTCCCTCTCTGTCCCTCTCCCAACTCAACCATCCCATATTCCCTTCTGTTCTCCTCTCCCCCCTTCCCCCTACCTTCCCTCTTGCACTCCCAATTTATTCAGGAGATCTTATCTTTTCCAGGGCATTCAAGCATGTCTCTCTTAGGGTCCTCCTTGTTACCCGGCTTTTCAGGGATTGTGGATGGTAGCCTAGGTATCCTTTTCTTGTTTTTTTGGTTTTTGTTTGTTTGTTTTGCGGGGGGGGGGGGTTGTTTTGTTTTGAGACAGGGTTTCTCTATGTAGCTGTAACTGTCCAAGAACTCACTCTATAGTTCAGACTGGCCTCGAACTCAGAGATCCTCCTGTCTCTAGTTCCGCAAGTGCTGGAATTAAAGGTATGCACCACCATCTCTTGGCTCTAAAATGTGGTCTTTGATTTTGTTTTTATAATTGAATGTAAAGCATCACAACTATATTTTAAACAGCATAAAGTGTAAGTTAGATATAGCTTCTAGATTTTCTCTGAATTTTAATTTCATAAAAGAACCTCATGCAGTTCTGACTTACCAGCAACAAAGAGCTTGAAGCATAGCCCTTAACTGGTGCATCTTTGGGATGTGCTCCACATAGGGAATAGCGCACAGTTGAGGGCACCAGGGGAGGTCGGCTCCACTCTGATTGGAATGCAGCGGCAGACACAACTTTTCTTCACTAATGTTGTCTAGCATGTTTAAATATGTAATAAAGCAAATTTTAATAAACTGGTTGTTAAACTTTCATATAGTAACATCGTCTAGGTTTTCTATGTCAATAAATGCTTTCTCCTGCCTTCAGCTATGACTTGTCAACCATTTCCGAGCAGAGCTCTATCAGAACGCTATCAGAGCGCCTTCAAACTCCCCGGCAGCAGGCGAGGTCCTTGCGGCTGCTGACTTTGTCAATGTGAAAATAAGGACCTTCTCTGCTCCAGCTTGGCACACCAGAGGCTGCCCTGCCCAGGGCCTGTGGCCGTCTGTGCTCCTGTTCTCATTTGGGATCTTTAAGTTCAATAACCAAGGCTTAGTCTTATAAACTGGTCGCTACAGACTATGAGGATCTTCCTTTGAAAGGGGTGGAGGGGGGAGGCCAGGTACTGTGGCGTCCCTGAAACCAGGGGACTCGGGCACTTAATAGTTATAGTTAGGAAAAATGTCCGGAGTTTCTAATTGCATTTGAATTTCACCTGAACAATACCCCATTTGAAGTTACAGTGCAGTCTGTCTGTCATCCGGGCATTCAGGATATGGAAGCAAGAGGGTAAGGAGGTACATTTAAATGTATCTCTAAATTTGGCATTTAATAATTGTTGATTTCCCATAGGGAAATATGAGAATCCTTCGACAAGAAATTAGGGAATTTTCCTTTTTTATATGTGTGACAGGATGTTACTTTGTTGCCCAGGCTGGCCTTAAATTCATGATCATCCTGCCTCTGCCTCCTAAGGAAATTTCAGTATTATAAATTGTCAGGTGAATTATGCTTCATCATTGACCTCCTAGGAAGCTGGCTGAAATTCTAGGCTATTCAAAAGCAAATACTGTTTTAATAAGGAGAGGAGTTAAGGACTAGTCTCTTATTTTGGTATGAGAAACCAACAGGAAGAAAAATAAACACTCGTTAGTGAAAAGGTGAGCAACTAGAAGACGGAACTGTGAAATGAGCAGCATTATGTATTCAGCTTTGTAATGACTCAGTAGTGACACAGGCGAAAACCTCGGTGTGCCTGCCAGGCAGGCAGCATGTGAGGCACGGGCCTCTGCCATCCTTGGCCTCCGCGGAGCCTTGCTGCACAGGCCTGTGGTGTGTGATTACCCAGAAAGAAGCCCCTAGAAACACAACTCGGGGCCAGGAGGAGTCACATCACGTGCTGGTCTCTGATACTGGGCAGAATAGCCATCACCACGCTTCCTTTGGTGTCGTGTCTAGGAGTGCAGGTGACAGACCACGCACGTTCTCCATAAAAGCTATTGCAGCACGAGGTTTGCAGTCTAGCGCGAGGGAGGCCGACCTCACAGCTGCTCTCATTTTTGCTCCACCCTACTTCGTTCGTTTCCAGGCTTTTCTGTGGATAGCCCTCAGCCTTCTCCCTCCAGCCCGAAGAGCCAGCTGAGGCAGAGCCCTGAGCTTCAGGCCTCTCTGAGCACAACTGAGCAGGGCCCGTCCCCTGTTCTCAGCCCTGTCCTCAGTACAGCCAGGACGGACAACCAAGAAGAGCAGAAACACAAGGTGGGCCACTCTTGAGACGGTGCTAATGGATGCAAACCTTTACCGGGGAGCCCCGGGGTGGCCAGGAAAAGACACACCCCATAAGCCCCGGGCAGAACATCAACAGAACCCCTTTCTGAGACACTGTTATTCTTAGAAGTCAGAGCTCCGTGTAAACACACTTTCCCTTGTTTGGGTAACAGGCCGTTTTGGCGTCCATGGTTCCGAGTGTTAGTGGATCCCTAAGACAAGTGGGAAAGAGGCAGGCTAATTCCCTGCAGGGGTCACTGCCTGTCCCCTTACGTTTCGCTCCTACCCGTTCCTTCCTTTCTCCTTCCTTATAGGTAAGTAACTTGGAGATCCCGTTGCAAAAGAAAGGTTGGTTGGGGCTCAAGAAGTTCTCTTCTCAGAGACTTCCTGGATGATAAAGGGACCTGGCCAACCTTAGAGAGAGTGCCTGAGGTGGGGGGTCCTGGGCTTTGTGATGTGACATGACATGGTGTTCCTATAGGTCTCTGTAGTGAGGGCACGTTTGGAATGTCCAGTAGAGAAGGACCAAGCAGAAGATCCCACTTACTCCTAGGTGCCAGGGACAACCAGTTTGCCTTAAGGTAGCCAGCCTGGAGTTGTCTCAGCACCATCACAGAAAATTGTCTTCCTTGCAGCGCCTGTGTTCCCTGTTTGTATTTGCTGTCTCTCACTGTAACAGGAACACCTGAGACAGGTCGATTATGAAGACACAAATTTTATTTTGTCTCACAGTGTGGGTGGTTTTAGCCCCTGGTCTGCTACCCTGCTGGCTGGGCCCCAGAGAAGCTGACTTGATAGGAGCTCGTGGTGGAACGGCCGGGACATGAAAGAGAAGCAGGACCGCACCCCACTAGCCCCTTTGGGGACTTTCCTGCCCCCACTGGGTCCCACCTGAAGTTCACCACTTTCCCATATTGCCAAATAGGAGACCAAGTATTTCAACATGTCGGCCTTTCAGGAACAGTCCAAATGCAAATGATAGCAAGATTTTAGGCTAATTACCCAGAGAGGAGTGAGGCCCGTGGGACATTTGAGACGCCTTGGCAGGGAGGGCAAGGCCCATTTCCGCACACTGTGAGACAGGCCACTCCCTTCTCTGTGCCCAGGGATCCTCTGGGACCCCACGTTCCCTGGGAGAAGGCCTTTGAACCAGATGAGGGAGCTGTCTACTAGGTGGCTATCCTGGAGGCCTGCAGGCAAGAGGTGGCCTACTGGCAGGACTAGGATCAGCTGCGGTGTGATCACTCCTACTTCATTGGCCACTTGTGTTTGGCATGAACACAATTGTCTTATGGCCATTTTTATTTATTTTGGAAACCTAATAATCTATTTCATTATTTCCTTGGTACAGAAAAAAGTGGATTGAGGAAACTTTTTAACACTGGATGTTAACGTTACCATATTATCAAAACAAAACAAGAAAGCTAGTTGATTCTTCATCTGAGATAGTTGAGCTCACAGTGTATAATCCTAAGAGAAGGTGTCCAGTCATCATGATACAACCTGAAAGCAACACCCTTCCCAGGCCCTGTGGGTTAAGGTCACCTCTAGCCTTCACTGATACATGCCTTCCAGGAGGTGGTAGCTGCTTAACCGAAGATGGAGGTAGATCCGCAGCAGCCCCTGAGATTCCGCTCTGGTCTGGCAACTGTACAGGCAAATATCTGAGGACCTAATAAAACTAGAATCAAGCAGAGCTGAGCTAGGGGCACAGACTGCCAGGTCCATCACAGACCCACAGAAGTAGCTGGAGTCTTACCTGAAGGTAGCTTTCCATCAGAGTCTCCTACTCTCCTGACCGGAAATCAAAGCCACCGTTGACAGTCTTGAAGACTCACACTGGGCAGCATCTGTCCCTTTTGGTTGTACCTATGGGCATGAGTTAGAGCTGCACTGCCCCATCCATGCCCAGGCCTGGTTGGACTTTTATCTGGCTGCTCAACTGTGAGGAATAAGGAATGGATGGCCCTCCACGCCTGCTGGTGGGAGCAGGAGCCAACCTTCCCCTTTGTTCCACTGCCTTCCACTTGACATTTTTTTATTGTATTTATGTATATGAGTGTTTCATTTGTATGTATGTATGTCTACCACATACATGCAGTGACCACAGAGGCACAGAAAGCATCAGATCCCCAGGAAATGAAATTACAGTGGTTGTGAGCCACCATGTAGAGGCTGGGAGTTGAACCTGAGTCCTCTGGAAGAGCAGCCAGTGCTCTGAACACTGAGCTGTTTCTCTGGCCTCACGTAGAGCAGGGGTTTTTTTTTCTTCCTTTTTAATAGAGGCTGGTGAAAATGAGCAGGATTCAGAAGGCAAGATTGCTAAAAGATGGCAGACGCATTTCTCTTTGTGCTTGTGTGGGTCTGAGAAATGGTGCTATCCCGTGGTGGCAGGTGGCGAAGATGGGTGGATGGTGCTGTCCCCACCTGTCTCTCGCCAGCGGGTCAGCTTGCTTGGGTCTGATTAGGTCATTCTAGAACAGGGGCAGGGCGGTTGGTGGCTGTTGCCATCAGTGGCACCTGCAGAGAGAGTTTCCACTGACGCTCTTGGGACTGCTCAGATAGGTTTTCTTCACACAGTGAGGAGCTGGTCTGGGGCTTTGGACCCGGTTTCTATAGCACATGCACAGTTAGGGTGTGCTTTTGGGTTTCAGACAAAGATAATTGCCATGAAGAGGTCATCTCCGCCGACATGTTTGTCCCAGGCCAAGGGCAGAATTATGCAAAACTGACAAGGAGAACCTCTGTCCTGCTGTGGGGAAGGCTGGAGTAACCCAGCTCTCACTGCTGAAAGTTCATGACATACGTATACCAAACCAGGGAGAGATGAGACTTTTTTTAAAGATGCCATTGGATTAGAATTTAAAAAAAATAAGTTTTATGACACAGAATACAAACACACACACACACACACACACATTGTGGAAGGTTGTAAAACTAAGGTGAGCTGTTCTGGGAGAGAAAGACCACACTCCAGGAACAATATGAAGAGACCAAGGGGTGGAACATTGCTCCCAGCCATTTGAGAAGAGCTGATGGAGATGTTGAACATGACTACCAGGGAGAGGATGGCAGGACTTGACTCTGCAGGATGTTGGCAGTGCCCCTGGTGTGTGTCTGTGATGGTAGAAGACACCGCGTTCCATGAGCTCCAGGATACATAAGATGAGCACACACACACACACACACACACACACACTCACACACACACACACACACACATATTACTCCTTTATTCCAGGGACCGTGAGAGAATATTGCAGCCTGTGTTGAACTACAGCAGGCACAGAAAAGAAGATGTGATCCCCAAACACGGGTCTTTATTGAGATCGCCTTGGCCCCTTGCTTCTTTTTATGCAGCTTGGGAAGCATATCGCAGGCTATCCTGGGGCAAACTTAGTCTGTTCTTCCTCCCAGAACTGCCTCAATCTCTTCCCCCCTCTGGCGGTGACTGCCGATCTTTCCCTTGACTTGAGCCAGAATTTGTTGTAGTCGTTCTTGCTGTGTCTGTCAGTCACACATCACATTCGCACCAACACCATCTCACTGGACTTGTGCAGAGGCCTCTTGAGACTCCCGTCTGTCCCTCCAGGCCAGCTTGCATCCTGCATGCACACATATCAGAGTGCACACACACTGACACCCAACACTCCGGAACCGCAAAGGCCAGATGACTTGCTTTCATCCCCCTCTTTTTTATCCCACATCACTTTCTGTGCCTTGACATTTGTCCTGTCTGCTGGCCCGGGCGCTCCACCCACTCCGTGTGAATCTGTGGCCTGATCACATTCATCGCAGCCTCCAGCACTTCCACCCTGTGCTCTCCATGACCGTGTTCTGCCGTGATTTGCAGCCCCTCGTTGACTTGAGTGTTGTGTTTGCACATTAGACAGAGCCCTGATGGAGATTCACGAACCCCCTGGACAGGTTCATCTTGGGTCCCGTTCTAGCAAGCATAAAGGGAGCTGCTGAGAGCTGAGCCTGGAGGTGGACCTGGGGTCCTCTTCTGCACACAGGAAGTGTGCCAGCCAGCTCAGCGCCTTGTCATAGGCACACTCAAAAGACACCGGGAGGTTTTTGTTGTTACTTTTATGAGCTAAGTTTAATTATTCTTTTAATTTTTAAATTTTTATGCTGAGCCTTATCTCCAGCCCAAGTTTAATTATTTTAATCACATATGTTCTTATCTATTTTTATTATACGTTTGTGGCATGTATATATGTGCATGCAGTGCTCAGAGAAGCCACCAGGTGTCTCCTGAGACTGGAGTCATAGGTGGTTGTCTGCCCTCATGTAAGTGCTGGGATTTGAACCCCTTCCTCTGGAAGAGCAGTCAGAGCTCTTAACCACTGTGCCGTCTCTCCAGCCCTTCATCACATACATACATGTTTAAACATACACTCATGATTTCCTCATGGTTCCTTATCTTTTAACCAGCTTCATCAATGGCAGTGATAAAGGATCATAGTTTCACCGCAAAACCAGTAATAAGCTTCGGTTCTGTTCACATATATTGATATTTGAATAGCAATTATTTTTCTAAGGAATGGTATACAGTGATATAATGAGGACGACGTGTTGAGAGAAATGTAGCTGGGCTTAATTGGACGTGTTTACTTACAAGCAGATCAGGCAAGCGAGATGGCTCTGTAGTTAAGCGTCCTTGCTGATTTTACAGAGGACCAGTTTCCAGCACCTACATCGGGTGGCTCTTGTAACTGAAATCCTGTGGCCCCTTCTAGCCTCTGCATGAACTTGTACACACACAGTATACAAACATATATTCAGGCGTACACATACACCAATAAAACCAACCTTTCTTTTCCAATAAATCCTTCTAGGAATTATGGCAGGAGTTTCTAAAATGTGGTTGGCTTAAGCATACTATGTTACAAGCCTCGGGCTCTCCCTGCGTGTGGAAAGGTAACATGTCCCCCAGAAGTGTGCTCACGCTCCTCTCTGCCTCTTTCAGCACCTGCCAGAAGACAAGGCCTATTTCATAGCCAAGGAGATTCTCGCTACAGAACGAACATATGTGAAAGATTTAGAAGTCATTACTGTGGTATGGAACCTTAGTCCTTGATTATTTTTTATTTTCTTAATGTGCTTTATGTATAAACACAGAGGCGCCACCCTGAGAAGTATCTTTGGCAGTCTTGAGACCCACTTACGTAAATTCTGTTGGCTCTACTTGCCTTCCAGCGCGATGTCTAAGTCATGTTAAAATCTGATGTCAGTTTTCGTGACGCTGTAAGGCTAAGAATGTATCTGTCTGAAAGCTCTGACCTAGGATTGGCTTGTTTGTATTTGGAAATTAAACAGTCAATAAAGAGGGGACGTGGAATGCTGGTTTAAGCTCTTCTTATAAACTGGAGGAGCTTTGCCTGGTGTCATGAGGTCACAGCTCTGCTGAGCCTCTTACCAGGCCAAACTCCTCCCATAGTGGTTCCGAAGTCTGGTGATCAAGGAGGACGCCATGCCTGCCGCCCTGATGACCCTGCTCTTCTCCAACATCGATCCCGTCTACGAGTTCCATCGAGGCTTCCTGCACGAGGTGGAGCAGAGGCTGGCTCTCTGGTAACCGTACCGTACAGCAGATGGTGCTATTTCCTTACCTCCCTCCGCAGGAGACCCCACCTTCTGAAGCCTCCGCCTGCATGGCTCCCACACTGCTGGCTCCTTGGCTGGGGGCCTGGACCAGCAGCCCCTGAGTCCCGAACTCTCCCTGGGAAGCACCCACCCTTGACACCAGCCCTTGTCTCAGGAAGTCCCTCCTTCAGAACAGCCATTATGTCACTGACATGTATTTCAAAATCCTATTGGGCAAGATAGAATAAACTTTAATAACAATGCATTTTATCTATCCTATTCCAGAGAAGGGACTAGAGGGGCAAGTTAAAAAGGAAAGGAATCTGTTTTCACCTGGTTACCATCGTATTTAGAGAAATGCAGTCATTGTTGCTGTTAAGTTCTTTCCACCTGGAAATTCCTTGTCATTCTGACTGACTGCTGGGTGTGGTGATGGATCCTATAGAGCCAGCAGCAAGGAGACAGAGACAGGAGAATCGCCGTGGGGCCAGCTCCAGCTACACAGTCACACCCTGTGTCAGAGGGAAAGGACAATGACTACCGCAACATGTTACCGTGGAATTCTCATGGATTTATAAACCTTCTTGTTCCTTTAATCCAGGGAAGGGCCCTCCAGTGCCCATTTAAAAGGTGATGATCAACGAATTGGGGACATCCTCCTCAGGAACATGCGTCAGTTAAAGGTACGGTATGGCGGGTTTGTGCGGGAACTCCAGGCTTAGAGTAAATCTGTTATGGAAATATGTCTGTTGTTCTTGCAACAGTGTCCCCACCACAGCAGCCTTCCCAAGAACAAGCTCATCTCACTGTTATCCACAGCAGGGCCCCCTGAGGAGAGGGTTCCTGTCGCCCAAATGCTCCACTCAGGACTTTTCAAAACTGTTCCCTGAACAACACTGTACATTTAATAGCAGTGTTGTCTTGACGGTGTTCCTCAGAACAGTGTCCCAGTAAACACACAGCCTGTCTCAGGGCTTTCCCGGGAGGGGTTTCCTTCAGAACGGGGGTCTCCTCAGAACGTGGTTCCCCTAGAATGCTAGGACTCACAAGAGCCTAAGAACACACGTTCTTAGAGCAGGGTTCCTTCAGAGTATAATTCCTAGCAAGGGTTCCCTCGAAACAAAGTCCCCGAACAAGATTTTACCAACGAAGATGTGCTTAAAACAAAGGCCTCTCAAAGAAAAGAGAACGTTTTCCTCAGAACATGGTTTCAGGAGGGGCTTGCTCAATACTGAAATAGTATTTCCCTCGAGTGGCCTCGCCACCTCAGAACAGCTGTTTTCTAAACATGGTTCCCCTCAGAAGAGAATTCCATAGAACAGTGTTCTTCTAGAAGGGTGTTTCCTCTCAGAATGATGTTCTCAGAATTAAGTTCCAATGCAGCGCTCTCAGGACAACATCCCAGGCCAGAGAGACAGCCCAGTGGTCAGAGTTCTCATAGTACCTACAGAGGACCTGGGCTGGGTTTCCAGCACCCACATCACCCACATCGTGTCTCACAACCACCTGTAACTGGAGTTCCGGTGGATCTGGCGCCCCCTTCTGAGAGGGCATGGTGGTGTACACCCTTTGCCCCAGTACTTGGGAAGAGCCAGGGTCAGGAGAAGGAGATAAGGCTTTCCCCAGGAAAGGGGGTCTCCTCAGAATAGCATTCCCCTCAATATGATTATCTTTTCCCCCTCCCTCAGAACATCACGCCTCAGAAATAAGTTCCTTCAGAGTAGGATTCCTGTTTGCAGTGTTTTGCTCTGAATGGGGTCCCCACAGCAGGGTATCCTTCAGAACACCTTTCCCTCCGGAACAGTATTTCTCATAACGTAATTTCTTTCTTTTTCACTTTTCTTTTTTGGTTTGTTTGGTTGGTTTTCGGTTTTTTGAGACAGGGTTTCTCTGTGTAACTGGCTCTCCTGGAACTCACTTTGTAGACCAGGCTGGCATTGAACTCAGAGATCCACCTGTCTCTGTTTCCCAAGTGCTGGGATTAGAGGTGTGTGCCACCACTGCCTGGCTACTCAAAGCCATGTTTCCCACAGAGCAGGTTCCTCTGGGAGTATCATTCTTCCAAAACATTTCCCTAGCCAGCTTACCAACTAAACAATGCCCCTCAGAATCAGGTTTTTTCAGAATATCTTTCTCTAACACACTTACCCTTGGGACAGAGCCCTCTGAATCAGGCTCCCAGGAAAGCAGCCGCCCTCAGAGCAGTAATTTTTTTAGAGAAGCAAGCCTCAATACAGGCATTTTCAGCATAACACTGCCCTCAGCAGGGTCCCCCTAGAACCATGCTTTTATCTAGTACAGAATTCTCCCCAGACTCTGTGCCTAAAACAGAATCCCCTCCACCCACTGCTGCCTTTCCAGTAGCCTGCCCCTCCACACAGCGATCCTTCAGAATAGTTCTCAGGGCAGTTTTCCAAAGCATGGTTGCTCCCTCTCTCCAGCACTGAACCTGGGCAGAGCTCAAATGGAGTTTCATTCTTGCCTGGTACTCAGTGTGTCCCATAAGGTGAGCTCTGGCTCTCCTAGCCTTTGAGGGTCATTCTTTATCCATAAATGGAGGAAAGGTAGGGAGGGATCAGTCAGCAGTGGTCATGGTGAGGACCATCTGAGGAGGAGCCCTGGCCCCTGGGAACGGAGTGAGGTACACACTGGGATAGAGTCTAAAATGGGGAAATGGGGAGACAGAGAAACTCTGGCTTGTACCTACCACACTGCACATCCCTGTTACGCCCTGTCAGCATTTCCAGCATCCCCAGTCCACGGTGGACGAGCTGCCGAACCGGGCCGGCCAGGCTTACCATCATGCCTCTCCACCCAAGTGTTGTCCTTTGGTGTCTCGACAGGAGTTTACCAGCTACTTCCAAAGACACGACGAGGTCCTAACAGAACTGGAAAAGGCCACAAAACACTGCAAGAAGCTGGAGGCCGCCTACAAAGAGTTCGAGCTCCAGAAGGTCTGCTACCTGCCTCTCAACACCTTCCTCCTGAAGCCCGTGCAGAGGCTGGTACACTACCGCCTGCTGCTGAGCCGCCTGTGTGCTCACTATGCCCCTGGGCACCGGGACTATGCCGACTGCCACGGTGAGTGAGGCCTTGCCACCCTGAGGGCAGCACGCGCGGTGTTAGACACCACTGGCTCTGCCCGGAGCAGCTGCCAGCCCAGGCGCTCACTGCTGGCTGTTGGCTTTTGCCCAGCTGCTTCAGGGAAGCGGGTTCCAGGCTGAACCGGTCCCCTTCCGTGGAGTGGGGTACTGTAACCAAGGTGGCCTCCTGCTGTCAAGGTCTCTCACGCAAGGGCGCTGGGGGATGGGGCATATCCTAGAATGACCTCTTTATGTGGGTGTTTCTGGCCTGGAAGACTTGACTCTAAGACTTAGCAAATGTTTGAGCCAAGCAGCCTGTTGGAAGTTTCTGACCTATGTGAATCGTAATTTTCTATTTATTAAAGGGACAAAAGAATAAAGTCTAAATCTTGTCATTTACAAATAGAAATTTTAGTTATAGCATCAGTTTAGTACAAGAAGATTGTGTCTATAAATGACTGAAATTGTTAAAATATAATTAGTTGGGAGTGGTGGCCCACGGATGTAATGTGATCCTAGCTACTTGGAAGGTTGAGGCAGAAGGACGATTGGAGTCCATGCAGGAGGGTCCATGGAGTCCTCGAAAGAGCCCAGGAAAAATGGGTCACTGCAGCCCAGAAAAGAGGGCCACTGCAGCCCAGGCAGGAGGATGCCTGAAGTACAGGCAGGAGGGTCACTGGAATTCCAGGTAGCAGAGTCACTGAAGTCCTCGGGAGCCGGAGTTACGGAGGGTTTATGAGATGCCATGTGGGTGCGGGAAATGAACCTGGGTCCTCTCTATATGGGGGTGGGGTCAGCGATCCCAACCACTGACCTATCTCTCCAGCCCCCACGTTTGCAGAGGCAGAGCAAGGGAATGCAGATGCCCAGAGTCTGCAGACAGCAGCTGCCATGGCTCGTGTGAGGCTGTGGTCATTGCTCAGGCTCTCCCTGATGTCGTCAGTGCCGTCTGCAGAGCAGTTATAGAAGGATCTGTTTATGATTGTCAAGGATGATAAATTCCGGGTGTGTTCCTCTCTTGGTTGGCTTGTGCTTCTGAAAGCCACAAGCACCCTATAAAGAACACTAGCTGTCCTTGGTTCCATGAAGTGCCTGTCAGGGTGGGTCTGAGGATAAGGCAGTGTGGGGGCTGCAGACTTTGTCAGATGCTCGCAGAGGGGGATCCACAAGGGAGGCGCTGCAGTTGGGCAGCCGGAGAAATGGCTCCGTGCTTAAGAGCATTCACTGCTCTTGCAGAGGGCCCGGATTTGGTTCCCAGCATCCATGTCAGGAGGCGTACGTCTCCTGTAACTCCAGCTCCAAGGGATCCAGTGCTCTTGTCTACGCTCTGAGGGTTTCTGCAGTCGGTGTGTACACAGTCACGTACAACCACACAAACACATATACACAAAAAAAATAAAATCCCTTCTAAAAGAGATGAGAACAGTTCCCATTAGTGGTCTGGCAGGTAAGAGAGGTCGCTGTGCTAGGGACAGCAGAGGGCAGGACTAGGTGAGCACCTGCTTCCATCCAGTGTGGCCTCCTCAGGGCTGGTGTCGAGTTCACATTCATCTTAGTGAGCGTCTTCCTGTTTATTGATGTCTTACATTTGCTTCAGGTGAGCGTCTTACCAGAAAGAAGTAAGTCACTTCAGACATTGAAGGATTTCCTTCAGGGACTAACAGTGCTTTGCACTGCTTCCCGAACCTGCCCCGTTAAGGCATAGCATTGGCCGGTGACCCCTGACCCCCTTGGGTTCTGCAGGGACTGAACTTGGACAGGAGCTTGTGCCAGTGGGCCAGAGCCCTGCAAGGAGTCTGCAGTGCCTCCAGCTAAAGGCACCCTAGAAAATACTGGCTCTTCCACAAGGCAGAGACTGGGGGTCTTGTTCAGGGTTTGAACTGGGGGACCTCTTCACACAGAGGCACTGAAGGCCATCACAGAAGTGACCACCGGGCTCCAGCACAGCCTCACCCGGCTAGAAAACCTCCAGAAGCTGACGGAGCTACAGCGGGACCTGGTTGGTGTAGAAAACCTCATTGCTCCTGGAAGGGTGAGTGGCCATACCTGGGAAAGATTTTATGCCTGTTCTTTAATTGAATTTTACTAATGTAGCATAAGACTTGCCCTTTTAAAGTTCGTAATCCAGTGACTTTGCATGCACTCACAGTTAATGTAGACATCATCACCAATTGGGGACATTTTCCCAGAAAGAAACCCCAAGACCCATTAGTTGTCGGTCCCCGTTCTGGTAGCAGGGAGCACAGAAGAGCCCCCCACAGGTACTGGGAGAAACGCCTCGAGACGGCACAATAGCAGGAATGGTGGCTCACATCCGAATCCCACACTCGGGGCTGGGCTGCAGGCTGTGGATTTTGAGGCCCATTTAGCTGCATCGCGAGATTTCATCTCAGAATCTGAGATGGGAAGCAACAGGATCGTACGTGAGGGATTTTCTCCCCTTCTCTGGCTTTGTCTTTCTGTCATTTATACTACTAAAACTTTTCATTTTAATGACCCTCAAGTCCTCTTTAGTTGCTCATGCCTTAGGTATCATATACCAGAAGATGTGTCCTAACCCAGTTTGTCACCTATAGGTTTTCTTCTAAGAGTTTTTCTTATCTTTTCCCTTTGATAGGGTCTTATGTAACCCAGGCTGACCTCAAATTCGCTGTGTATTTAAGGATGACCCTGAACTTCTGTTCCTTCTGTCCTGCTACCTGTACCTCCTGACTGATGGGACTGCGGTGTGCGCCACTGCACTTGGCTTATGTGGTAGCGGGGATGGAACCTGCTTGCCGAGTACGCACCGGCTGAGCCGCATGCCCAGCCTTCTGGCCCAGTTAGTCCAGTGTTATTCCTTTGCACACATATCAGCTACCCTGGCACATTTGTTGAATTGTCTGGTCCTCCTTATGAAAATTAGGAAGCCCCATAGATGTGTGGGCTTCTTTCTGGACTTTCAGTTCCATCGCATGAGTTGGCGTGTCTCTTGCCTGTGTACTAGATGCTTTGCTCTTGACTCAGTACCGCTGACGCAAAGAGCAAGCAAGCTTAGTAACTAGCCCTACTAAGTGCTAACCACTACAGAAGTTCACGTTCCTGTCTCCTAGGGGAAAATCTCACTAGGGCTGTTTTCATCTTATGTCAATAAGTGTGTTGTTCCTCTGTGTGCCTTGGTGGATGGGCTCCTGTTCTCACTTTATAGCCTTGGTTGGTCTGGCTATAAGTTTGTCGACCAGGCTGGCCACAAACTCATAGAGATCCTCATACCCCTGCTTCCTAAGTACAGGGATTAAAGGCTTGTGCCACCATGCTTGGCTTCTTGACTTTCTGAGCCTTTGTGGCCTTTATTCAGTATTCCAGTGCAGGGTAGCGAACTGTATCCACCCAGTGTTGGCGGAGACTGTCTCTTCTCAAACCTGCCTCTGCCTGGCCTTTCCCACAGCGGAACTCAGATGGACTCTTGATGACCTCGTTTCCCAGTGTCTCTCCACTAGCGAGTACCTCTTGGTTCCCACGTCTCAGGGCAGGTAGATGACTGGGACCAGGTTGGTACCAGGATAGGACGTGGGTAACTAGGGTAGAGTAGGGTGACTCTCAGAGGGCTGCCACTCAGCAGGGCTTAAAGAAGCCAGAGAGGCTGGCAAAATGGCTTAGCAGGAAGGGGTGTGGTATAGGCCTGGCACCCTGGTTTAATCCCATAGCCCACAAAGTGGCAGGAGAGAGCCAGTACTGATAGTTGTCTTCTGACCCTCACACGTATGCTGTGGTTACTGTTGGCTCCCATGACCTTTGCCCCAGCTACCGCGTGTCTCTTGCATCCCTGCTCACAGGAACCTGGTTGTCTTTCAGGAGTTCATTCGTGAGGGCTGCCTTCACAAGCTCACCAAGAAGGGCCTGCAGCAGAGGATGTTTTTCCTGGTATGTTTCCCACTGTGCCCCGAACTGCATGTCCACTCTGGGAAGAATTGGCGGGTAAAGTCTGTCAGGAAAGTTGGCCCGCTGCCTGCTAGCTCCGTCCCTGGGATGGCAGCTCAGGCACCTGGGAACTCAGGCGGTCTCTCAAGAGTGAGCAATAGGAAGCAGCCACTTTGCCCGCGCTGCCTGTTTGTTCCTAGTCCACGTTCTGGGAGGGCAAGCAAGGCTAACACGGAGATGTCCATGTGGCTAGCCTAGTGGCAGCCAGGGGCCTTCAGTGCTTCCCAGAAACTTGGGTACAGAGGACCTGGCCATGTATCCTCATCTTACCAGGTTTCTTTCTTTCTTCCTTTTGGGGATGGTGGTGGTTTTAAGACAAGCTTTCTCTGTGTAGCCCTGGCTGTCCTGGAACTCATTCTCTAAACCAGGCTGGCCTCGAACTCACAGAGATCCGCCTGCCTCTGCCTCCCGAGTGCTGGGATTAAACGTGTGCGCCGCCACCACCCAGCCTTACCAGGTTTCTTTTCCAAGTGCCCCAGACTTGATCCACACAGGGAAGGAGCCAACTGGCTGCACCAGCTAGAGCTCCTGGCTGCTTCTACCAGCTAGGCCAGACCAGAGGAGACTGGTGACTGGCCCCCAGTTCTGCTAGCTCATGTGACTACTGCATATATCTGGTCGAAAAGGATCAAAGGAACAAACTTTTCCCCCAATAATTTCCAATAACTCCTGTAGATCTGGTAAACACACCATGGCTGTCTGTAGATCTGATAAACACACCATGGCTGTCTGTAGATCTGGTAAACACACATGGCTGTCTGTAGATCTGGTAAACACACACATGGCTGTCTGCAGATCTGGTAAACACACCATGGCTGTCTGTAGATCTGGTAAACACACACATGGCTGTCTGTAGATCTGGTAAACACACCATGGCTGTCTGTAGATCTGGTAAACACACATGGCTGTCTGCAGATCTGGTAATCACACCATGGCTGGCTGTAGATCTGGTAAACACACCATGGCTGGCTGTAGCTCGAGTCTAACTATACTGACACTGAAGCTTTGTCCCTTGTCTGCATCTTTCCATCCCTCAGTTCTCAGATATGCTGCTATACACAAGCAAAAGTGTCACCGGGGCCAGTCAGTTCCGGATCCGTGGCTTCCTCCCTCTGCGCGGTATGCTGGTGAGTGGTACCATGCTTACCTGAGGTTTGGTTTTTAGGTGCTGGGCTGGGCTTCTGCCCCACCTCCCTCATACAGCAGCAAGTCTGAGGCTGTTTTCAGGGGTGAGCAGGCCACCTGGTGTTGAGGGAATATGCTGGACTGTTGTCGCTCTTCCTCATGGCTACTGTTCTCCCTGACCCCAGACTGCCCCGTATTCCACCCATGGACAGCTTTCTAGGTCAGTCTCCTTTAGCACTCGACAGTATTCACCTATTTTGCCGACAACTTGGAGCGGGTTTTGGTATCAGCTGTTTCCAGATACCGTGTAGTTATGATACTCACCCAGGAACAACCATTCCTTGGACAGACACAGGCTGTGGTCACTGACTGTGCCTGATACAGCGCTGCCTGGGGCTTGAGCCACCGCTGCTGCCGCCGTGAACTTTCTGTACACCCTGCATGTGTGCCCACCAGGATGTCCGACATGGGATAACCACTGGGCTTTAACATAATCCAGGCTATCAGATCTGCCTTTGGAGGTTAATACAAACCTGTTTAAGAGCTGCAGAGAGGGCGGGCGGTTAGGAGTGCTTACTGCCCTTAGAGGACACAGGTGTGGTTCCCAGCACCCATGCCAGCCTGCAGCTCAGGCACCACGTGACTCAATGCCATCTGTGAGCACCTTCACATGGACACAGACACACACATAAAAATAATACATATTTAAAAGATAAACGCTGGAGATGGCTCAGCACTTAAGAGCACTGACTGCTCTCCCATAGGACCCAGGTTTGATTCCCAGCATACACATGGCAGCTCACAACTGTCTGTAATGCCAATTCCAGGGGATCAACACTGTCTTATTGTCTAGGTGGGTAGGCACTGCATGCACATGGCATGCAGATATTCATGCAGGTAAAACTGCCATATACATAAACTAAAAGGAAATAAATCTCAAAACAAATTTTAGAAAAAGAAAACCCTATTTAAAGTCATAGAGAGTCAGGAAGACTAGAGCAGCAAGTGCTTTTTAAACTATGGGTTGCAACCCCTTTGGGCTCAACCAACTCTTAACAGGGGTCGCCTAAGATATTGGAAAAGACAGGTATTTACATTATACTTCATAACAGTAGCAAAATTACAGTTATGACGTAGCAACGAAAATCATTTTATGGCTGGTGGTCATTACAACATGAGGAACTGTACTAAAGGGCCGCAGCATTAGGAAGGTTGAGAACCACTACTCTAGAGGCTGTGTTCTCTTCATGTAGGCCCTGGAACCTGGCCTGAAACGTGTCCTGGAGACACTGAAGGCAAGGACAATGCCGTATGTGGTTCCAGACATCTTAGCGCTGTGGTCATCTGTTGGCCCTCATACTGCTCCTTGAGGTGGTATCTACTGCTGCAGCATCATGCGAGGGTCTACTCCTGTTGTATTATGCGGGTTCTACTGCTGCAGCGTCATGCGAGGGTCTACTCCTGTAGTATCATGCGGGTTCTACTGCTGCAGCGTCATGCGAGGGTCTACTGCTGCAGCATCATGCGGGTTCTACTGCTGCAGCATCATGCGAGGGTCTACTGCTGCAGCATCATGCGAGGGTCTACTGCTGCAGCATCATGCGGGTTCTACTGCTGCAGTGTCTTGCCAGGTTCTGTTGCAGCGTCATGCAGGTTCTACTGCTGCAGCATCATGCAAGGTTCCTTTCTCACTGATTCTACTCTGCTCAGCCTTGAAACATATGTTTGTAATATGTGACTCCACTTCGCTGGGTTTAGCAGGGGCCACCTCTAGAAGTCATCCCGGTTGTTTGATGGTTTACTTTTAAATACACATTCCTATGAGGGAAAATGAAACTATAAGCTAAATATCACTGTGACCACAGCACTCCAGGTTTAGCTGTGGTGACGTGACACCAATTACCACCGTCTACAAGCTGAGCTCACCCTGAGCTCTCTGTTACAGTCTCTGACTACTGGTGCAGTAGGGGAGCCTGGTGACCAGTAGTAAGCTCCAGAGGACCTAACCTAACCTGTCTTTAGGCCAAGTATGGTCTTTCAAGAGTGTATGCCACATTATTGAGCTTCTGTCTCCCAAACATCTTCCAGTCCATCCTCACAGGGTCCCATCATGCAAAGCACATGTTGCTCTTAGTGTCTCTGCTCATGGCTGCCCAGCAGTAGCACCAGTCAGCTGCTCACAGTGAGTTCTAAATGTGCCCCTGGCCCACAATACACGAGGGTCATCTCTCTGCGTTCCCCACCTGGGGAGAGGGCACCATTACTTTACTCTCCATCCCCTAGTCTTGGCACTTTGGTTTTCTGCAAAATAAGCACTTAGTGTATCTGTTGCTTTGTCTCAATTTTTACACAGTAGGGAAACCTTTCTATAGCAAAGCTGGCTAGTCAACTTTTACAGGTGTGTGTGTGTGTGTGTGTGTGTTTGCATGTTTGCCTGTGTGCATGCATGCGTGCACATGTCTATGGGGGTTGTGCATGAGTGTGATAGCCCAGGGGTCAACATTAGGCTCTTTTAGGTTGCTTTCCACCTTATTTTTGAGACAGTTTCTGACTGAACCTAGCACTCACCAGTGTAGCTAGACTGGCTAGCCAGTGGGTTCCAGGGGTCTATCTGACTGTGTCTCTCCAGTGCTGGGGTTACAGATGCTCATTGCCACACCCAGCTTTTTACATGGGTACTGGGCATCTGAACTCATTTTACTGAACTGAGCCATCTGCTCAGCCCCAGGCCACAAATGCTTTTATCTTACAGTAATTAGCTATTTTAGTTTCTCTATAATTCAGTGAAACTTCAAACTCCGTCCTGTGGAGGTGTCTTCTTTGGGAATGGCCTTGAACTGTGGAGGGTGGGATTAACCGTTTGTTGAAGGAATGCTGTAGACTCGTTGCTGTGGTCAGCCCTTCCCACCTTTCCATGAGAGCTTTATTTTTAGCCCCTTCAGGCTAGACATAACACTGTATTGGCTTTTATTTTTGGGTGTTTTGACAGAGTAGCCCCAGTTGTCCTAGGACTTTGTAGAACAGGCTGACCTCAAACTGACATTGCCTGCCTCTGCCCACCTCCTGAGTGGGGGATTAAAGATGTGTGCCACCACACACAATCCTATTGGCACTTTTTAATGTTTTTTAAGATGTATTTTTATGTATGTTTGGGTATTTACGTATGTGTACTGGTATCCTTGGATATCAGAAGAGGATGTTGGATATCCTGGAGCTGGAGTTTTAGACAACTGTGAGCTGTCCAAGTGGGTGCTGAGACCCAAACTTTGGTCCCCTGATGGAACAGCAAGCACCCTTAACTGCCGGGCCATCTCTTCAGTTTAATTTTCCAGTCTGTCTAGAATTTGCTAGATGTAATTTAAGGATTTCATATTTTTTTCTCCATAGAGTCACTTTCCCCATCATTTGTTGAAGCCTCCATGTTCTCCCTGAACTCCAAGCTGCCTGCACTGTGTGCCAGCCTCATCTCCCACTCTCCTTATAGTAGGACCTTCCTTCCACTCCACTGGTGTTACTCACAGTGGAGAGAGATACTGTGTGCGGGACTACATCCCACCCCATCCTTATCCCCACAGGGCCAGCAAGACAGTTCTTCAGATAAAGTGCTTGGCGTGCAAGCTTGACAATTCAAGTTGGGTCTCCTGGAACCCATGGAAAAGTGGAACCCATGGAAAGCTGTGCACTCATAACAATGACACACTTCTTAAAAATGCATTTAAGTACTCCAAGTAAACTCTGGAGTCGTTTAGGCAGATTACATTCCAAAATATCATTGTCATTTCATCTGAAATCACACAAATTTAAATATTAACTTGGAAGACACCACACTCTGTGAAATGACCACCAGGATGCCAATTCAGATCTCTTCTGTCGAGACGGAATTTTGTCTTGTGGGTTCTGTATAGGGAACTGTGTATTCTTTGGATCATCTGTAACTGGCAGTCCTCAGGACCAGTGTGTGTCCTTATCTAAGCTATTCAGAGAGGCGGGGGGGGGGGGGGGGGGGGGGGGGGGGGGGGGGGAGTTATTCTCGGCTTGAGAGAAACTTGGTCATGTTAAAACTGTTTCCTTCTATTGCAGAGAAATCTTTACTTCTGTTTGCTGTCAGCAATATTAGAAGTGTTGGCTTTCGGCAAAGGTGTTCTCAGTCTGTAAAGAAATCACCATTTCTGACCTCTGACAGGAGGAATTCATTGTTATAAACCCATCCTTGCAGTCTTTAAATCCACCTTGCTTGGTGCTAGGACACTTCTTGTATATGCTTTTAGGTTTGATTTGGCAACATTTTATCTTGGAATTATTCCACCAAATCATCAGTATGATTTGGTTGAAATCAGTATGCAGTGGCTTTCTTGGCTTCAGATAGGGATTTTGGTGCCAGGTTGACAGATGAATTTTCCAAAATGCTCAACATCTTCTTTGCTTGATTTTCAGCTAATAGTGCTGGACCCACCGGTGAGTATTTCAGTGTCTCTAAATGAGACCTCAGTCACTTGGCGGCAGCTCCAGAATGTAGGGACACAAGTGTGCCCCTGTATTTCCCTTGTAGTTAAATAGTCTTAGATTGTACAGCCTTCCAAGCCAGCTGCACCTAGTCATTTTGTACATGCCTTGGGCTGTTAGCATCCTCCTTGCCCATGAGGTGTCACCTCTTCTCTTGCCTACAGGTAGAAGAAAGCGACGAGTGGTCAGTTCCTCATTGCTTCACCATCTATGCGGCTCAGAAAACAATCGTGGTGGCAGCCAGGTAAGGGCCTTCTTCACGATTCAGTTGAGAACAGGGCCTGCTGCAGGGATGCAGACTTCAGTACCAACCTCTAGAGCTTCAGGGGACTCCACTGTTCCCAAGTTATGCAGGAAGGATTGCTGACATTTGTGTTTTTCAAGAGACCAACCATGGTGCTTCTGAGAAGGTGCCTGTGCCCTAGGGTTCTTGGCAGTTGGTCTTCTAATGGCACCAGAGCGCTAGCCCTCAGGCAAAGGGAAGTACTTACCATGGTGAAAGTCAACTTGGGGCCACAGCAAAGGAGCAAACAGGCTTTCTCCTCTCCAGTTCAGTGAGTTCTTCAGGTATAGCTCCTGCTCAGTGAAATCTGTCTTGGCTGGTCCTCTTCCACCAAGAACTGCCACCTTAATCATGACCCAATCCAGTCTCGTGTTTCAGCATTGAGACTTTTGGTGCTAAACTCACTAGTTCCAGCACCCAGGGCTGCCCTGCTTCTCCAGCTCCTCCCAGCTCACCCTAGGAATGGGCTGGAGAAGGCATGTTTCTGACAATTCTCAGGACCCATGGGATGGGCAGGTGCCCAAACCAGACCTGTCTCCTGACACAAAAGGACAGAACTCCAGGCAGAGGCTGCTAACTTGACTTTCTCCTTTACAGCACTCGGCTAGAAAAGGAAAAGTGGATGCAGGACCTCAACACCGCAATCCAGGCAGCCAAGAGTATTGGCGACTCAGCCCCAGTGCTGCTGGGAGGCCCAGTGTGTACTCAGACCCCCAGTGAGTTTTGATTCAAGACACCCCAGGAGAGTCCCTCTGTAGCTCTAAAAACTTCTGGAAATGCTTTCCTGATCTTGCCCAGCATGTCAGGTCCCATGAGCTACCCTTCCATACAAGGAAAACAGGTGGCCATGCCCAGGTGGCAGAGTCCTTGGGTTATCCTAGCACCGTATGGTTTTGTCTGGCTGCTGACTTGGATACCAAGTGCCTATTTCCCCGAACCTAGAGGACCCTCATGGGTGCATGGTGCCAGGTGTGGCTAACTCTCCCCAGGATCTTCCGATGAGGTCTCTCTGGAGGAATTGGAAGATGTTCGAGGAACCCGGGGCTCCCTGGAAGGGAACAGCCAGCACCGGGCCAACACCACAATGCATGTGTGCTGGTACCGGAACACAAGTGTGTCCAGAGCAGACCAGAGTGCAGCTGTTGAGGTATGGCTGTCATGAGCATACGCGTGAGCCCTTCTGCAAGTTTCCTCTACCGGTGCCCAGACAGCTGCCACCTGCCTCCCTCCCCCACTGTCAGAAACCAGTTTAGGGCTGTCTTCTCAAGCTCTCTTTGGAACTTCACACCAAATGTCACCTGGTGTCTTGTAAGGGCAGTCAAGGCAGAGACAGCAGTGGTGGAATTTGCTGGAAGGCCCACATGTTGCCCCTGGGCAGTACTCTCCCTGGTTGGTCCACAGCCTTTCCCACTTCCCATCCTGGGCTCATGCTCACCTGCTTCCCAAGGATTAGTGGTTGTACACATTTGGCTTCACAGAACCTCAAGTTATTCAGCTTACACCTCTACATACCCATTCCTGGATTTACTCCCTTCACGCCCGACTCTAAGGTCTCTATAGCCTCATCCCCACTCTACGGGGCTATGGAGAACTCAAGACTGTGAGGGTCAGAGCACAGGTCCATAGTGAGACCTGAGATGTCTACAGATCAAAGTAGGTGGGGACCTCTTGGGAAGCTGGGCAGCACATATTGACACAGGCCCAGAAGACAGGACAGGTCACTGGGCTGGCTGGCGGGGTCTTGTCCAGTGCTGCACTTAAATGCCCTCCTTCCCCCAATAATTTCAAAGAATCTTCCAAACTTGGTTCAAGGTGTCATCGCCACCCTCATCTTGTTCTCGTGTAGGTTTGCAAATGTATGCTTTCATCGGGAAACTAATTTCATTATGTATCAGAAAGAGAAGTCTCATACACTTAAGTGTCTGGGACACCGGTTCCCAGACTAACATCCTGTTGTCAGGTCTTAAGTATGCACAAACCATGCTGATAAAAAATGCTAAGCATCAGCTGGGCAGTGCTGGCAACACTTAAGAGGCAGATCTCTTGAGTTTGAGGCCAGTCTGGTCTACAGAGGGAGTTCTCTGTGTACAGAGAAACCTTGCTGAGCACGCAGACCTGGCTAGGCATAGGGTCATGAAACTGGTGACAGCTGCTGAGCAAGGATTATGGTGACAGCAAAGTGCTTTTGCCTTTTCTCCCGACAGAACCAGCTTTCGGGATATCTGCTGAGAAAGTTCAAGAACAGCAACGGCTGGCAGAAGCTCTGGGTGGTCTTTACCAACTTCTGTTTGTTCTTCTATAAAACCCATCAGGTATGTTGAGCCTAACTGGAGTCTAGGCACAGAGGACACGGCACATCTGCTTATCTGTCTCCTCCTCACAGCACCTTTTCTATGGAAATGGAACTAGCCTTTCTTACCTGTGGGTCCCTCTGTACAAACTACCATTTCCTTGGGAGGACCACTGGGAGCGAGTAAAGGGCTGGGGGGCACCACAGAATAATGGGCCCTGAGTGCAGACCTGCATCCCAACACCCAGTGACCCTGTTCCTGTGCTGTTCCAGGATGACTACCCCCTGGCCAGCCTCCCACTGCTGGGTTACAGTGTGAGCCTCCCCAGGGAGGCTGACAGCATCCACAAAGACTACGTTTTCAAGCTCCAATTCAAATCTCACGTCTACTTCTTCCGGGCTGAGAGCAAGTACACATTTGAAAGGTGATTCTGCGATGCTTCTTTTGTTCATTGCTAATAACAGAGCCAGAGGCAAACTTCCCAGTTCCCAGGAAGCTAGGGTCAAATAATGCTTGCAGGGTTTTGTTTTCAGTGTATGTTCATGTTTGTATGCGGGCACTAGTGTACATACACATATATGCATACATATAGTGACCAAAGTATAACTTCAGGAGACATCCTTTTTATTTTTTTTAATTTTATGTACATTGGTGTTTTGCGCTCATGTATTTCTGTGGGAGGGTGTCGGATCCCCTGGAACTGGAGTTACAGTTGTGAGCTGCCATGTGGGTGCTGGGATTGAACTCAGGTCCTTTGGAAGAACAGCCTGTGCTCTTAACCACTGAATCATCTCTCCAGTCCCCCCTCCTTTTATTAAATTTTTTTCTTGTAGGGGGGGTTTGGGCACATGCACCACTTGTCCTCATGTGGAGGCAAGAGGACAACTTTGTGGGGTTGGCTCTCTCCATGTACCAACAGTGTGTGAGTTCTGGAGATGGAACTCGGGCTGCCAGGCTTGGCAAGTGCTGTTACCTGCTAAGGCATAGCACTGGCCCCATCTACCTTGTTTGAGACAGGTGTCTCACTTGGGGGCTCACTGATGAGGCTAGGCTGGCTAGCCTCCAGTGAATCCATCGCTACCTCCTCAGTGCTAGAGTTACAAGTGCACATCACACCTGGATTTACTCAGGTCCTAGGGGTAAAACTGAGTTCATGACTGAGCATCAAGAACTTTACTGACTAGCTGTATTCATCATTTCTTGGGAAGGTAAGTGAATATATGCCACTGGTGTGACCCTTCTACAGGTGGATGGAAGTCATTGAAAGGGCCAGCAGCTCACCGGAGAGACCCCCAAGCTTCACTCAGGACTGCTCACATCTCTCTCCAGGGCTGGAGGCAGAGATCAGAGGGAAGGAAGAATGTCCTTCGGGTTGTATGGACAAGAACCTATGACCAAGGCTTTCAGGGAGTGTAGGTATCACCCTCAGAGCTGAGCAACCAGAGCCATCCTTCCACCAGCTGAAGGGTGGCACTGACCCTAGAATGGGCCTTCAGACCTCCAGAAGGGGTTCTGCCCTCCCCAAACTCCAGTGAAGGTTCATGATGGCTGCGGCACATGTCTAAGATCCATGAAAAAGAAATGAGGGTTCTCGTTTTTTTGTGAGCACAGCCCCTGCTGAGGACTGGCCCCAAACACAGGACTGGATGCTTCTACTTCTACCTGTAGCACCAATAGCCAAATTCACATTGCCTTAGACAGCACTATACTCAGGCTTATGTGATAACCTCAGGGTTAGCCTCCAGATATAGCGAAACAAGAGAAGGGCAAAAGCTACTCTGGTTCCCAGCCCACATACCATCTAGACAAGCAGAAACCAAAGACCCCACCACCAGGGCTCCTCTTATTAGTTCCTGGTATTTCTCATCAAGTAGGGCAGGCCTATGACTCCTGTTCACTTATGTGACTTATAATGAAAGGATATAACCCCACCCACCAGCATCCCCTCTGCCGTACTTTGTTCTCCAGCAAGCCAAAGGAAACTGTCAGGTTATATACCAACATTTAGAAAGGACACTAGCTAAGAGGCTACAGAAACCCCATCTGGCCAGGCTCCATCATCAGAATGTCTCCAATCCAGGTCTTTATTGAAATGGTAGGGCTTTCAATACTCTATGAAAACTAATACTTACTGTCAGAATACTTAGCAAGTTCAATTTTCTTAAAAAAAAAAAAAAAAAGGGGGGGTGCAAAATATTCTGAACGATTTGAGTACTCATGAGAACACACAGTACCTGAACTGACACCAAATTATGACCATCTTGGACCATATGAGCCCCCGAGACACTATCCCTGGTGGAGGGTGAGAGCCAGAGTTGCCCAACAGTTGCTTTGATCCTTAGTTTAGCAGCTGCAGAACCAAAGATTCTGGAAGGTCACCCCAGCTTCCCAAATTGCTACCCAGTTCTTCAAGGGCCCTGGCTACCTACTGTAGCGTTGGCCAACCCAGGAGGTGAGCACAGGTGTCGAGTGCTACTGTGCAGGGCAGCACACTATGGTGGGGCAGAAGGGAGGTGACCTGGCTGGTGAAGCCTACAGGCTGGTAGGTCTTTGCAGCTGCAGCACAGCACACGAAGGCTTCCAAGTCAGTCCTTTTAGAGCTCAAAACAAAACGCATTCTTCTCCCTCTCTGTGAAGAGCAGTGCATCCAGTTCAGCGCGTAGACGTCAAGTGGTTCCGGCTGTGTGAGAACCTGGAAGTGGAAGGTACCATTACTGTCCTGGGCATGTATTTGAGCAGCACCTCACAAGCCTCTCAGATGTGCAGTTCACAGCATCTCACAAGATGTCCTCAGTCTTCAGGTCACTGCTGACTAGACCAAACCCCGGGGTGGGTCTCTTGGTATATAAGGACAGGATCCAGAGGAAATGGGAGAAGAAACAGGTACAACTGCCTCTAACCCCGAGTCTGTGGAGCTGCCAAGGAAGGACTAGTGTCTGCCCCGTCCCTTCACGGGCATGAATCAGCTCAGGGTTCCCCATCAATAGTAGACAAGTCCTTGGCTTACACGGTATCCATGCTGTTCCTGGGGCACAGAACTCTAGGACGCCACCAAGTAGAAAGGTCAGGACCCATTCTGTGCAACTCTGTCCAGACACTGCCCGAGACTGAGGTCCAACCTTAATGTGGTTCAAAGCCACAAGCGGCCCACTTGCCTCTCCCTCTCTTAACTCCAAAGGCACAAATGAGAGAGTATGCTAACCATAAAAAAGGAGGACCAAACCAGCTGCTTCCAAGAATGTTTTGTGTTCAGTTCCCCCATGGAGATTCCTACCAAGTCAGGGCACTTGCTCACCTCTGTACACGCTCCACCAGGTGCACCATCAGCTTGTCTGAGATGCCAGGACAGGACTCCTCAGCCAGGCTGAAGGCGTTCTCTAGCTCCTCCAGGGCACCCACGCTCCCACCGCTCTGCTTGTGCTTCTCTTTGAGCTGTAGAGAGAACATGGACCGTTTTTACTGCATCTGACCTGAGACCCACATTTGGACCTACAGAAAGCAAGGCAGCACTTTGTGTGGCCCTGCTGACGGGGCTCTGTGGCCCTCCTCTCCCTGACTAGGGTTCTCAAAAGGTCAGAACAAATGGCTTCTCACAGGATGAAGGTCAGGAAGTCAAATTAGGTAGATCCAGTCTAACTCAGAAATTAGTACAGTAACCCAGAGCACACTACAAGGATGCTGACGGACATCCCAGATCAGACTACAGAGCGTTGATAACCACTTTTGGGACCTCCTTTCCTGACAGTACTTTTACTTAAGGAGTCCTTTCTTGGCCCTGGGCAACACTGCATGTTGCCCATAACAGCACTAAGTGGCTGTTTACTACTCTGGCTAGGGTCACTGCCAAATCCTACTCTACCCACTGTCCTCAGGGAGATGGCTATTTCTATTCACCTACATCCTGCACTCCCTCCCTGGGCTCCATGGCTCCAGGTGCTGTTGTTACCCACAGGGGTGGGAAGATAGGCCTACACCTACTGCCTGACCTTCACATTCATGTGTGAGCACTCATTCCTGGCTGCACTGTGTGTTTGTGTTCGTTTGTTAGACGGTTTCTCTGTTTAATAGCCCCAGCTGTCCTGGAAACTTGCTTTGTAGACTAGGCTGGCCTCAAACCCAAAGATCCACTTGCCTCTGTTTGGGAATAAAGGTGTGCGCCACCACACCCAGCTTGCTGCACTGTATTTCTGATGATGGCTTTGACTTCTCTCAGCAGGTACCAGTGACATAAGGTCAAGTGGCCACCAAGGAATCACCTCCCTGGCCTAGGACTGACCCAACATCAACAATTCTTTGTCTTCCTCCACAGAAGAACCATGTGGTAGTTGCACACTGAAAAACACAGTAGTACTGTAATGGCAGACAACCTTAGCAGGTCTGGGAACACAAAAGGACTCTGGCCAGGTCAGTTCTTCCTGGTGGTTTATGGTTCTTCCAGCTAAGAATCTAGACCCACAAGCCTGCGCATAACCAGCTGCAACAGACCCAGAGATCAAATGGATAAAGCCAGGGAACAGGGCCCACTAGAACGCCACTCCATGGCTCTGCAGGGAGCACTTATAATGAACAAAGCTACTACTCCACATGACCTCAGGCTCACCCCAATTCTCACCTCTCCAAAGACAGGCCGGACTAGCGTAGACAAGCACTGGGACCTTGGCTGTCTCTTGATAGGTTCAGCAGACTGCAATGGGAAAGCAGGGCATTGGGTACATGGAGGAGATAAGAGAGGCTCCCTTCCCTGTCTCCTCAATCTCTGGCTTAAGCTGACAGAGTATATACACCAGGGGTCAACTCCCAAACTACAAGCCATCAGTTCTCATCAGGCCCACACCTAACCACAGAAGACCCAGGTTTCAGTATGATTCCTAGTTAGCTCAATACCACTCTAAGCTTAGGAACCACATGCTCTACACTGTCCTTCCCAGACCCCAGATGAGTGTTTAAAATAGCCCTAGGTCAAAGGCACTTTGGAGCTGACCTCCTCAAAGCCTTGTACCCAGACTGCATGCAGTCCCTATCTGCTTTCCCCAGGAAGTTGAGGCAGGACTGGTACATATGGGCCGTGCTCTGGCCCAGGGTATGAACAGACCTTCTGTGAGCTGTGCAGGGCAGTCCCCTTGTGCAGCTTGCTATGTGGACTTGGCCGGATGGTTGGGGGAAACGTCCAGATGGGACCCTGCTCCCCATCCTCAGCCTCGCCATCACTAAAGAGGATAAAGAATCAGAAGAGCTGATGGAGACAGGGCTGGAAGTAACCATCGTACCAATTACATCTTATTTCTCTGAGGTAGCCTCTTGGCCTAGGCTGCCCCAGTTAAAAGGCCCTATTCTTCAGCATGAAAGTTCCCTGCCCAATATCAGTCCCCACCCTAGCAACTAACTCTAAGCCTGCCTCTGGAGGAGACCTCCGCTGGCATCAAAGCACCCGGGGAGCCCTTTAGAACAACAACAAAGCCTACATGTCAGAATCCTCGGAACTGGACTCCTCGCCATGCCCCTCAGACTTCCAGCGCTTGTAGCGGTCAATGAGTTCAGTGAGAAAAGAGGTCTTCTTGGTGTAGCGTGTGATGAATTTGTGCTTCAGGAGCTCCTTGGCAGTGGGTCGCTGCCAGGAAGACAGTCAGAGCTGAGTTCCACCCTCACAGTGGACACAAGGCAGGGCAGGTAGGGATATGAAGGCTGGGCCCTGTCTTACCCCAAATAAGCATCCTCCCTTCATAAGATTCCCCAAGACCCTCAGCTGCCTGGGGGAGGGGGGAGTGGAGATAAGCCTTACGAATCGTGGGTCCTTATTGAGGCAGGCCTCTACAAACTCCTTGAAGGGTTTACTGTGATGGCCCTCCAACGTGGGTGGGTTATTCTTGGGAATCAAGAACAGGACTCGCATAGGGTGGAGGTCAGAGTTTGGCGGCTCCCCCTTGGCCAGCTCGATGGCTGTGATGCCCAGGGACCAGATGTCAGCCTAGACAGGTATCACACAGGACAGTTGCTGCATGTAACATTTTGGGCTGGTAGCAGTGTACTCCCACCTCCCACCCAGAACTCACCTTAAAGTCATAAGCAGACTGCTTGATAACCTCAGGTGCCATCCAGAAGGGAGTACCCACAAATGTGTTCCTCTTGATTTGTGTGTCTGTGAGCTGCCCAGCCACACCGAAGTCTGCCAGCTTCACATCACCCTGCTCCGAGAGCAGCACGTTGGCAGCTGCTCAATACAGGACAGGTGGGCATCATCCTTGGCTCCAAGAGCCCGCCCCAAGTAGCCCTGCATGCAACTCCTTGATGAGTCATGGGATCCCTGGCCCCTGGGGATAGCAGCAGGGATGTCTTGGGACCTCGGTTTTTCTTGCCACTGTGGGCCAGCGGGCCACTGCTGACAGAAGCAGGCAAGCTGGGGGACCTACAGGAGTAGTCCTATCTTTGCTCCAGGGCTTCCCTGTTTGCCTTTTCTGACAAACCCCAACAAAGGTGACATCCACATCACATCTAATCATAGTGACATTAACCAAAGGGTACAGCTAACACGAGCTAGTCAGGAACTCCATCACTCTGTCCACAGGTAGTGGGCTGGCCCAGCTTTGTGAGTCCTCATTAGGACTGGACCACACCTGATGCTGAGTCAAGGCTTTTGCCATGTACTAGGTACACAACTGGTTTCCTTCACATACGTGAAGACTGAGACTAGGAAGGTTTTCCAAGGCTTGGGAAGTAGCTCAGAGCAGAATGTTTGCTGAGCGTGCACAATCCCCTAGCTTCCATCCTCAGTGTGGCCATTTAAAAAGGGGGTAAAAACATACACCCCAGTTCCCAGGTGGTAGAAGGGCTCCCCACATTCCATGCCCTCAGGCACCACAATCTACTGGTTCTACATGCCCATCTCTTTCTAGGTCATGAGCAGAACTGCAGCCATGCCCACCCCGCGGGACCTTTGATATCTCTGTGGATCTTGCGCTCTGAGTGCAGATAATCCAAGCCCTTCAGAATCTCCCGTAAAATGGTGGCAATATAGGTTTCCTCCAGTGGACCAGGTTTTAGCTGAAGAAAGACATCAGGGAAGAAGAACCTCGGTTGTAGCTACGAAACCCACACCACCACAGCTCTGGAGCTCCACCACCCACCAATTTCTGAGTCCTTGCATAAGGCTTTTGTGTTCCTTCATTCTGAAAGTTTCAGATGTCAAGGATAATGAGGGAAGGAGAAGTGGGGGGACAGGCTTTTTCCAGAGGCTGCGTGGTGGTGCACACCTTTAATCCCAGCACTTGGGAGGCAGAGGCAGGCAGATATTGAAGACCAGCCAGGTCTACAGAGTGAGTTCAGGACAGCCAAGGCTGTTAAACCTGGCTGAAACCCTGTCTTAAAAAAATAAACTAAAATAAAACAAGCCATTTTTTATCTTTTCTGTGATTATAAAGATGAGAGTAGGTTCTTAACCATGACCTTGACCCTCTTATTTATTTGGGGGTTCTAACCGTGCCTATGACCCCAGGCCAGTAGAGGCCCAAGACCTCTTTCACCATCAATCAGGGCAAGATAAGCAGTAATTTGTTTTGGGAATTGACAATTCCTGATTAACATCTAAAGCACTAAGTCAGTAGACAGGTGGCCTGAGAAAGCCCACAAGCCTAAGAGTTTGCGGAGCAGTGGCCCCTGGGGCACTGGAAGACACCACAACCCCCACAGCAAGCTGCTCATTGCTTGAGCTTGATCTTACCAGGTCCAGTGCAGAGCCGCCACCCAGGTACTCCATGATAATCCACAGCTTGGTGCTCTGGGAGCAAAGAAACATGTCAGTGCCTGGGCAGCCAATGAAGGAGGCAAACCCAAGAGTGGAGTCCACAGGCCAACCCCTCTACCTCCACCAAAAGATGTCAGCTAGGGGCTCAGGCTACTATGTCAGCAACTACACTGGCTAGTTCCTACCAGGAACCCAAATAGGAAAGGGTTCTAGCCAGGCAAAGTAGTAAATGCTTATAATCCCACACTTGAGAGGAGCTCAAATTCAAGGTCAGATGAGGCTACCTTGTGTGGTTTTTTGGGGGGGGGGCGGGGGGGGAGTTCAAGACAGGGTTTCTCTCTGTAGCTTTGGAGCATCCTGGAACTCACTCTGTAGACCAGGTTGGCCTCAAACACAAAGAGATTTGTCTGCCTGCCTCCCAAATGCTGGGATTAAAGACGTGTGCCACCACCGCCTGGCTTAAGACCTTGTTTTTTAAAAAGGGAAAGAAGGGATAGAGAGATGTCTTGGCAGGTAAGAGCACTTGATGCTCTTCCAGAAGACCCAAGTTTAATTCCCAACACCAGCATCATATGGCTCACAAAGGGCTTTAACTCCAGTTCCAGGTGGATCCAATACCCTCTTCTGGCCTCCTCAGGCTCACACACATATTCATGTGCACATACCCCCACCTGGCACATATAGGTAAAAGTAATAATAAAAAATTAATATTTTTCAAAGGAGGTCCAAGTCAATCATGGTGGTGTATGCCTTTAATCCCAGCACTAGAGAGGAAGCAGCAGGAGTGTATGTGTGAGTTTAAGGCCAGCCTGGTCTGCACAATGAGACACAAAACTACATAGAGAGACCCTGCTTCAAAACAAAAACAACAACCAAAAGACACTTATACACTAAAACCCAAACAAACAAAAACAACAAAAAATAGAGGGCTAGAAGTGGTGGCATACACTTTAATTCAGCACTTAGAGACAGGCCAATCTCTTGTGAGTTTGAGGCCAGCCGGGTCAAAATAGACAACGTCCAAGGTGAAGAGCAGGAGAAAAGGCCTCACTGACCACCCAGCTACCATACCTCTGGTAGAGGCACCTGATGGATAGACCAAGTGCTCAGAGCAGTAGCTAAGTCTACTTCAACAGCCCAAGTGCCCTCCTTGCAGGTCCCCAAAGTACTGCCCGCAGGGGCCCCTTAGACTGTGCCTAACAGAACCCACAGATAAGAAGACAGCTGGGTTGCCAACTGAGCCTCGCAGATTGGCACTTCTCAAGAGAACAGTCTTTTTTTGTGACTCTCAGCTATGGGGTGGGGGTGGGGACCCTCTTTGCCCTTCCAGAGGAATTCCCATGTGCCCAGCAGTGCCTTTCTCTGCTCTCCTCTACCCTTGGGTACAAATTAATCCCTCTGGAAACAAAGGAGAAAACATGGCACAGAATCTTCAGAGTGCTCCACCCCCAGCCACTACAGATGCCCCTCCACCTTGCAGATACCTTCAGGTAGGAGCCGAAGTAGCGGGTGATGTAAGGACTATCACACTGGCTGAGCACAGTGATCTCTTGTTGGATGTCCTCGATCTCATCCTCTGCCTCTTCCAGGTCAATGATTTTGATGGCCACCACCTCCTTGGTGTGGTTGTCGATGCCCTTGTACACCTCCCCAAACGAGCCCTTGCCAATGCGGTCAAGCTTGGTGAAGAGTTCCTCTGGGTCCACACGAGAGTGCTATTGAAGTCAACAAGGACAGAATGTTGAGACAGAGCACAGACAACACCCACCAGAAGAAGTACTAGAAGGAGGCTGCTCTGCTGACTGAGGGCATGGCCACTGCAAGGAGCTAAAGGGAAGGGAACTCACCTCAATTCTTTTCCAGCTTTTTTCTGAACCCTTATTCAGAAAAACTAAACTCTCCACTCTCCAAGAATCACTTTATTCAATAGATTGGATACAGTAAATCAAATGTATCTATAGACTCAACTCAAATGTATCTATAAACTCAAATGTAGACTATAAGCCTTAGTTAATACCACATCTCTAAGTGCCCTCATCAGTTGTCTAACAGTGAGCTGGGCCAAGACCTAACAGAAATGACAGGTAGGAATATATATATGTGTGTGTAACAGAGTATTGTAAAACTCATTTTACTATAAATCTAAAACCGTTCTAAAAAAAAAAAACAGTTAAAAGTAATGTGTGCTGGGGTCTGGAAAGATGGCTTGGTGGTTAAGAGCACACATACTGCTTTTGCAGAAGATTGGAACTCAATTCTCAAAACCGCCTACAACTCCAGCTCCGGGGGATCTGAGGTCTCTGGCCTTGGAGAATACCTGCATGCACATGTGCACACCACCCCCATAATTTAAAAATAAAATTTAGCTGTGCATGATGGTGCACACCTTTAGTCCCAGCACTTAGGAGGCAGAGGCAAGTGGATCTCCAAGTTCGAGGCCAGCATCGTCTACAGAGCTAGTTCCAGGACAGCTAGGGAGCTAGGGATACACAAAGAAACCCTGTCTCAAAAAAAGAAAAAAAGGAAAAAAAAAAAAAAAACAAAACTAGAGAGAGAGAGAGAGAGAGAGGAAGGAGAGAGATTAAAATTTAGCACAAGCTAACATGTTTTCCACACTTCGAAAAGCTACACCCATTAAAGTACTGATCTACTTCCAAATCAGTCCTCTAGCAAGCTACACCCCCAGACTAGCACTGAGTTGAACACTTTCTCAGATGCTTGATTCTAGATACTAAACACAAAAAGTGCCTTTGATGGCTCTTAGAGTTAATGAAAAAGAACTTATCATTGCTGAACCAACAGTGTTGAAGACACCTGGTTTAAATACCAATACACTACAAGTGAAGAACCAGGATGCAAAGGTATGTCCTCTGTCCAAACCACACTACAGCGTCTGAACCAGGGCTGCCTCCAGGAACAGAGACATTCCTGGGCTGCACAGAAAAGGACAGAAGCAGAAGAGCTTCTCCCAGGGCCATCAGTGAGCGTCCCCTGCCTGTAATATCTGGCAGACTCTGGAAAAGAACGTGCTCTCCATACCACTGACTAGCAGGCCCAAGACCTAGGAATGGGAATACTGAACCTCATCCAGTTTTTCAACCCTGCGAGGTTTCACCTCCATTAGGAAATGCTTCCCGAAAAGGATGTCCATTAAAAGGAACCGAATATGACTGGTGAGATGGTTTATCTGGTAAAGGCACTTGCCACGGAGACTGAGTTTGATTCCCTAGACCCACATGGTGGAAAAAGAGAACTGACTCCCAAAAGCTGTCTGGTGACCCATACGTGCGCCATGGTCAACACATGGGGAGGTACAGTTTTTTTTTTTTTTTTGCTTAGCATAACCAAGACCTGGAGTTCAGCCCCTGGTCCCGCACGGGGTGGTGGGTGCAGGGAGCAAGACACAAAAAGGCAAACCACATTTATTTACAACTGTGTTAAGTACTGATGCTCAAATCCCTCTGTGTTTAGGGAACAGCTTGTCCTAGGTGTTTACCATGTTCCTAAGGAGCCTGTTCTCTAAGAATGACATGCTGCCTGCCTCCCTGAGGCCTAATTGCCCCAGCCTCTTCTCTCCAAGCAAGGCAACTGGTTTCAGAGACCTGACTAAACCCCATTTGAGACTTTCCAGAGATAATTCAATCGTAGAGACACAGAGAACCACACTCCCCAGCCTATTTACAAGCCAAGCAGAGAGAAGTGTGGAGAAAAGAGCTCCAGGAACAAGGGCAGTGTCAACACAGGAATCGCCTGATCCCTCCAAGCAAAGCTGCCTCTGAGAGGCCTGAGTTGTAACACAGCGCCATGCAGTGCCCAGAGCAAGCACTTTGAGTAGACTAGCTGTGGTATCCATATGTACCCTACTGTGGTTAGAGAGATGGCTCAGTGGGTTAAGCGCACTCAAGTTGGTTCCCAACAACCCAGATGATCTCAAGCACTGCCCACATGTGGTGTACATACATACATGCATGTACTCACAAACACACATAAAAGTAAATAGACCTATTTAAAAAAAAAAAAAAAAGGAAGGAGGAGGAAGGAGGAAGGAAAAGAAAAGGACCAGGACCAGAAGATGGCTCACTAGGTAAAAAAGCACTTGTCACCAAACCTGACAAACCTGGGTTTGATCCCCTGGACCCACATAGTAGGAGAGAACCAATGCCCATAAGTGGTCTTCTAATATTTACACTGTGGTACATACACACCTACCCATTCATAAATAAATGTAATCTTTGTTTTGTTTTTTAAAGAAAATGAAAAGGGAGACCAATCCATCCAAAGTGACCCTTCTCACAGCCTCATCAGAACTGGCAGCCAAACCCTGAGACCAGTTCTCACTGAGCGACAGTCGATGCTTGGAGCAGATCTGCTGCCTGAAATCCTGAAAGGCCACACTGAGATTTGACCAGACAGAGGAAGCAGAGCACTGCCTGAGATACCTTAGGCTGCACAGGCCAGGGAGTAGTGTTTGCCCCCCAAGCTCTTAGCTTTTCAAGTGAAAAGCCAAGAAAAACTCCTCCAGTGTGGCTGATAAGACAGACACCTTGGCTGTTCCAAGACTGGCACTGGACCCAAGCCGGATGAGAATTAAACACTCTGAGCCACGCACTCTCAGCACACTCACCAGTGTGTAGACCACCAATAAAGGTGTAAGAGATCGGTACAAAAGTACCTCAGTCTTCTGCCACCTCCTGTCTGGGCAGGGACCACTTGATGCCCTGCTCAAAGCCAGTCCTGAAAACCAGGTGCAGGATAAGGTCCACAGAGCAGACCTTTTTCTGCCTGTTTCTGCTCCAAGAGCCCCCACAAACACTTCCTCAAACCCTCCTCTTACCACTTAGTCCTACTGTTTCCTCAGCTGCTACTGCTCCACCTTGAGAGCCATCTCAAGACTCCAGGAGGTCTAGCTGATGACCTGAGGCTAAAAAGTCTTATCACTGGTTCATCTAGTGCCTGCTAAGCAGCCTGAGAAAACCTGGGTGATGTAGAACCACCCTCTGATCTCAAGGGCCCCTTTTCCCATTCCTGACAGACACAAAGTCCTCCCACACTGCCCAGCCATACTGAGAATCCTTAATTGTCCTCCCCTTGGGGAGCCTACAGTCAGAATTGGGTCCACCACAGCAGCCCAAGAAGGGAATCCTCGGGTCATGCATTCATTCACCACTGCCTCAGAGAGTACAGCAGACCACAAAGCCAGAGTTCTAAGTTTTCAGCAAGAAAGGAGGGAACCTCACTCTTCAAAGTCAATGCTTTTTGGATAGCTACATATATGGACCAGCCAGCACGGTCCTGACATTATATTTACATCTTTGAAGCAGCCCTAGTCCCAACCCTAACTGGGACCGCTAGGCAGCGTCCTGATCTGGGTGGCTCAGATTTCTCTTCTGGACAGATGTGCTATGAACCATCACTCAAGCCATGTAACTGGCTCTGCGCAGTTGAGACTATACTCTCCATTTACTCCTAAGGCTGTTATACATGGAGGGTCACACCCACCTCGCCCAGCAAGGGTGAAGCTCTTCTCACTGCAGTTTTATTCCAGGACTTTATTCACTTTCTCTCTCTCTTCCCCTCTCTCCTCTCTCTTTCCTCTCTTTCCTTACCCCCCCCCCTCGGGCAAACCTCTCCCAGCCCTTAAGTAAGCATGGGCTGCCAATCCCGGATTGCCAGGTAGGCACTGCCTATAGGTTCACGCATATGCAGGCAGCTGATAATCATTGCGTGATCAGGCATAAGCCAGACTTTAGCCATAGGAGTTGTTATACATCTCCATCAGGTGTGACACCACGCAGCTCGCTACAATGGAGCCTCTTGTGTATCTGCCAACACGCCTGCTGTGTGTCACCCCCCATCCCTCCAAAAGAGAAGCTACCCAATACACACCCTCAACTACCACCACACAGTGCTTGCCCATAACCATCTGGTCCTTCCAGAGATGGAATGGCCAGGTAAAGGGTAATCTAAGGCAGGAGCGAGGCTATGTAAGACAACAGAATCCTTACCACACAAATGGGCAGTTTCAAGGGACTCCATGGCAGCCATGTTTGGGAGAAAAGAGCCCTAGAAAGGTTTATATTACTTTCAGAAGCCAAGTATGTCTAGGCTGGACACAGGTGCTTTGTCTTTGAGAAAGGTCTCCTAGCCAGCATCCCTCTATTCCCTTACAGTTCACAGCTCCAATGTGTCATCCTGGGACCTACAGGAGCTAAACCTCTTAAAAATAAACTAGAGGCACATTTTTCCTCTCAGAATGTTATATAATTAGAGGCAAAATGTCAAAAAAAAAAAAAACATTTAAAATGTGTTAACTTAATTCAGCACCAGTTAGCAAGCCGGGGATCCCATCTGTTGACAGCTGGGCCGAACGCCCTACCCAACAGCTGAGTAGTCTTCCAGGCGGGCTTGGTTTCCTCCAAGGAGCCCTGCCTCCAGTTCCTGCCCACAAGCAGCGGACGGACGCGCTTCCTGTCTGCACACCCAGTTCTCAAGGATGCAGGGGGAAAGGGGGGGGGGCTACTCTGTTCTCAAGAGCTGATTCCCTCGCTGGGCAACTGTCAACCCTAAGTCTAACCAAAAAGCAAATCTCACAGCTAAGCCCAGGAAAATCAGCCACCAGGGCAGTCCACTCCACTTCACTAACGGCTGTCTGTCACGTTTGCTTTGAAATAACAAAGAGAAAGGGAGAGAAGGGATCCAGAGAGCAAATCCCCGAGTCCTTGAACCCTATGCCGCCTCATCCTCCACGCCTGTGCGGTTCCGTGCTGGGATTGCATCCCGTTAGCCTAGGAAGGAAAAGCCCATCTTCTGGAGGCGCTCCGAGCCTGGCTCAAGCAGGTCCTGCACCTGTCCACAGCAGCTCCTGAGCAGGAGCCGTCACATAGCAGAGGGGCCCCGTGGATCTCGTCTTCCGCCGGCTCGGTCGGGTCGCACAGGCCACGGTGACCTGGACCCGCAGACGCTCCCCAGGGTACACGGCCTCCGCCCCTCTCCCGCCTGGCGTGGAGAGATCCGCTCCACCGCGAACCGCCAACCCAGGGCACGCCGACGCCCACACTCACCTGGTGCGCGAAGCCCCTGAGGTGAGCCATGTCCCCGCTGACCCGACCGGTCCGTCGTAGCCACTCCGCCCGTCCGCCTCAAGCACCTGCGAGAAACCGCAGGCCGCTGGATCAACAGCAGCCCAGGGTCGGGCTCCGTGGAGTCCCTCCACCCGCGACCTCCGGTCCCGAGCCCGGGGCCCACCGACCCGCCCTCAGGGCGTGCCCGGCCTCCCAAACAGCCAGGCGCGGCCCGCTGGTGGCGCCCACCTCCGGGAGGCTCCATCCCGGAGTCCCGGCCCGCTTCGCAGTCCCCACGGCGGCTCCCACCGCAGTTCAGTCTCCCGGAACGCCCAGGCCTCCCAACCCGTGAGGTGGAGGCAGAGGCTATGGGCAGGGTGTCGTGGCGAGCGCGAGGCTCTGTGGGACTAGGAGTCCCGCCGCCCGCCCGGTACCCCGGGCCCGCGAAGTTGAGACTACAAGTCCCAGCTGGCTGTGCGGTAGGATGCGGAGTCGCACGGATACTCTGCGGCCCTGGGGGTGTCAGACTACAAGTCCCAGCAGGCCATGCAGTGGGGCGGACCGTCGAGAGGCACTTACACACCACAGATTGGATTGGAACCTTGAGTTGGGTTCTTGCAAGGGCTGACCCACCAGTTAGGCCGCGCGGTGTGCCGGGTACAGCGCGTGCGCAGTTGCCCTGAAGTTTTCCAGGCCTTTCAATCCACCTCACTTTCCCCGAAGCTGTTTACGAAGCCTCGGGGCTAGGACTAGTATCATAGATTCACGACCCACATTACCCTCAGAGCCTGGTGCTCTAGCTTTAAACGCAATATACACACGCACGCACACACACACACACGCCTTAGAGAAGTCGCTCAGCACAGCTCATGCCTTGAAGCTCATACTTCTCCTGCCTCAGTTTCCCTATAAATATATATAAAGGTATAATCGTAGGGCCCTAGGACAAGACCGGGTGCTAGAAAGATGTCTGTGGTCCTAGTGAGGTGTCCCAAAGCTGGAAGATGCCCTTCATCCTGTGAAATCAGGTGGAATTCGTCATGAGGGACCAGGTCTGCAGTGTCTGCCTCAGCACAGTCTCCTAGTGTGCCACGGGAGGGAGATTTGCCCGGTATTGTGTCCATTCTACAGACTCAACGCCTGTGAGGCTCCCTGCAAACCCACAGCTTCCCCCCTGACTCTTCCATTGATGAAGGCGTTTTGTGTCTGCTCCCTGGTGGATTTCCTTTCTCTGCACCATCCTGGGGCCTTCTCAAATCTTGCATCCAAGACAGCACCTTGCATCCAACTCTGTTTCATCTCCAAACTTTACTACATGGTCATTAGGGTGTTCGTTGTGTTATCCCCCTCCCCTGAATAAAGTAGACTTCCTGCAAACACTGGGCCCCATAGAACTATGTCCCGCTAATGGGGGCAAAGATGTTTATTGCCCCTGAAAGAGACTATCTGTGGTGTGGCCTTCAAGATAGCCTGACGGTTTGAGTCCCCTATCTAGCCCTCCTATAGCAAAACCTGGCATTTGGCAAGTCCTACTCTGTTTTTTAAAGACTTATTTCTGGGCTGTATGCTACATGTGAATGGTTACCCACCTGTTGCAAGATAATTTTTTTTTTTTTGAGACAAGGTTTCTCTGTAGCTTTGGAGCAAGATAATCTATTTATATACTGAAGATGGGTCTGTTTTACCTCATCTGCCAAGGGAACCTACTGATTGGCTTCCTAACAAGCTGAACAGCCAATAGCTAGGCAGGAGAGGATAGGCGGGTCTTTCTTGGAGAGAAAGGAACTAGGGGAGGAATTTGAAAGGCACCAGCTAGACAAGAAGGAAGTAGGATATACAGTATTAAGGAGAGGTAACAGGCCACATAGCAGAACTCAGATTAATATACACGGGTTAATTTAAGTTTTAAGAGCTAGTTGGGAACAAACCTAAGCCAAGGAAAGCTTTCATAATTAATAATATGTCTCCGTGTTCAGGAAATGGCATCCAAAGAAAGACCTGTTACAACCATTAAGTCCTGAAAAGGGCGTTGGATTCTCTGGTGCTGGAGTTACAAGGTGGATTGTCTGCTGATTGACATGGATGCTGGGACTAAATTCTGGTTCTCTGAAAGAGCAACCAAAATTCTTAATGGTTGTACTTTTGTACTTGTCTTTTAAGACAGGATCTCACCCTATAGCCTAGGCTGACCTAAAACTCACTACATAGCCCATGCTGGCCTCAAATTTACAGCCATCCTGGCTCTGCCTCCCAAGTGATGGAATTTTAAGCAGGTACCTTCACATTCAATGTGAAAAGCCCTATTCATGAGATTAAATTGTATGTCTTCTTATCTCCTTATTCTTGGATCAAACAGATAGCCAGGAGCTGTTGCTATTTAGGAAGACTTCTGTTGTGATTTGGCTGTGAAGCATTTCCCAAGAGCATGAAGAGCAGGCTCTGGCAGAGAAACCAGGTTCAATTTCCTGCATCTACATGATGACTGACAACCATCTATCACTCCAATTCCAGGGGATCTGAATCCTTTTCTGGCCTCTGTGGGCACCAGGCACATAAGTGGTAACACGGACATACATGGGTGTGGAATGTCTTATTATACATATAAAACAATAAAATCATTGTGGCTTAGTTATTGCTGTGATAAAACACCATGACCAAAGCAACGTGGGGAAGAAAGGGTTTATTTGGCCAATGCTTACGTACCACTGTTTATTTTAGCACAGCCAGGACATGTACTCAAACAGGACAGGAACCCGGAGGCAGGAGCTGATGCAGAAGCCATGGAGGGGTGCTGCTTACTGTCTTGTTCTTATTGCTTGCTCAGTTTACTTTCATATAGAATCCAGGATCACCAGCCCAGGCATGGCACCACCCACAATGGACTGGCCCCTCCCTCATCAATCACTAATTAAGAAAATGCCTACATCCTGACCTTATGATCTCAGATGACTTTTGTGTATTTTGAGTTGACATAAAATCACCCAGCACAACTGACCCCCTTGTCAACCTGACACACAAACTGTAAAGCACAGCATATTTTAGCCCCAGGATTACACATTAATTTCGACATCACAATATAAAACATTTTACAAACTTAAAAAGTCCCATAGTCTTACAATTTCAAACACTTAAAAAAATTCAATCTTGGGGCTGGAGCGTTGGCTCAGTAGTTAAGAGTCTGTGTAATATCCATGCTGAACATGGAGAAGTCAAGCTGATGCCCACAAAGAACCTTTGCTCACATGCTCTACTGTCTTAAGGAAGGGACTCTGCAGGCTACCAAAAGAGAAAGGTTAAACCAGCCCAGCCACAACCTTTGGTCTACATTCTGTCCTGTCCGCACAATACGATAGTGCGATGGTGGAACAGGATCGTGGGAGTTACAAATCACTGTCTGGTTTGACGTCAGGCCCGCCCACTTCACAATGGAGCTCATATGGGACACTGCTTGGGTGACAAGAACCAGATTACATAGCCCAGAGACTTAGGGTAAAACAAAACATGGCTGCTCTAAAAAAAATAATAATAATAAAATGACTACTAATAATATTCAGCTACACTCACAGATCAAGTGTAGCTGAATTGACTACTAATAATATTCAGCTATACTCACAGATCAAGACTTTATTCCACCATCATAAGGGAGGCTTCATCCTGCAGCAGAGGGGAACCAATACACAGCCATCTCTCTCTCTCTCTCTCTCTCTCTCTCTGTGTGTGTGTGTGTGTGTGTGTGTGTGTGTGTGTGNGTGTGTGTGGGGGAGGGAGAGAGAGAGAGAGAGAGAGAGAGAGAGAGAGAGAGAGAGAGAGAGAGAGAGAGAGAGAGAGAGAGAGCTTGGAACATGTAGCTCTAAGTGATACACCTCCAGCAAATCCTTCCCTTCTCAGGGAACCCCACAGAAGAGGAGGCAGAAGCGGTGTGGGAGGCAGAGGGGATGGAGGACACCAGAAGAACAAGGCCCTCTGAATCAACTGAGAAAAGCTCATATAAACTCACAGAGATTGGCACAGCATGCATAGGGCCTACACAGGTTTGTACCAGGTCCTTACATATAGTCTTTAGTTTAATCTCTTTATAAGACTCCTGAGTGTGTGGAGAAGTGGGTCTCTGATCTTGGGCCTCCTCTTGGAGATCGTTCCCTTCTGTTGGTTTGCCTTATTCAACTTTGATATGATGGTTGTTGCTTTATATTATCCTATTTTATTTTGTTAATAAAATCTATTTTCACTAGGTGGTGGTGGTACACAACTTTAGTCCTAGGACTAGGAGGCAGTCGGTGCTCTTAACCTCTGAGCCATCTCTCCTGCCCCCTGCTGGTCTCTTTTTAATCACCACTGATTTCTCAGCTCCAGCTGACCAGCATCAACTGAGCCAGCAAAGCAAAATTTCACTTCAGTAGTTCTGGCATCTTGTTAATCACGCCTCTTCAGGCCCAACAGATCAGAACCACAGATTCTCAACTCAAAGTAGCAAACTTCCCTGATAATATCATTAAGGGACTCACAAACATCCCTCTGAAACTTCATAAACCAGGCCTCTGTAGTGGCTTCTCTGCTCCCTCTTTGATATATCAGGTATATATCAAAGATATATATCAGATATACCAATATCTGACTCCCAAGTCCTTGTTAATAATAGAGTAACTTAGATAAAAACATTTGGCACCCAACATGTGGCACAACATCATGTGGATGCTTCTGAAGCCACCACTCACTCACACACACACACACTCACATTTTCATATTCACACACACACACACACACACACACACACACTGCTGCAGTCACTCCTTGGACTCCTTGGGTGGCTTCTCCCATCACCACCACCCACACCTTCTTTTGCTGTAGTTCCCCTGTGTCCACTCCCTGGGCCAAAGCCACATGCACCCACCTACAGAGCCTGCTCAGGCTTCTGCTGCTGCTAATCCTCCACATGGGCACACAGGACACTCCATTCCCACTTGGTCCTGCTACAGCCACCAACCACAGGCTGTCAGCCAGGCAGCTCTGACACCTGCCATGTCCTTGGCTCCCACTGTTCCCTAGCTTGCTGTACCCCTTTCCCCCACACCCTCAGCACCAATT